CGCACGTCACTCGATCCATCGTCGCCTTGACCAATCGCGTCAGTTTATCCGGAAATCCGTACTCGTGCATAATCTGCCATAGCTGATCTCGATCGATTGTGTCGTATGCGGATTTGAAATCGATGAACAAATGATGTGTGGGCACGTTGTATTCGCGGCATTTCTGCAGAACCTGCCGAATCGCGAAAATTTGGTCCGTGGTAGCGCGGGCACCCATGAATCCCGCCTGGTATTGCCCCACGAACTCTCTTGCATATGGTGACAGACGGCGGCATAGAATTTGGGAGAGTACCTTGTAGGCGGCGCTCAGCAGTGTGATCGCGCGGTAGTTGCAGCAATCCAACTTGTCGCCCTTTTTGTAGATTGGGCATACGACACCTTCCATCCACTCCTCCGGTAATATCTCCTCCTCCCAAATCTTGGCAATTACCCAGTGCAGCGCTCTAGCCAGTGCTTCACCACCGTATTTCAATAGCTCACTTGGTAGTTGATCTACACCAGTTGCTTTGTTGTTCTTCAGCCGACCGATCTCCTCCTCAACTTCTTGAAGATCAGGGGCCGGTAGCCTGTCGTCTTCTGCGCGTGCTCCAAGGTCTGTTGCCGTGCCACCTTCGTTTTCTGCTGCTTCACCGTTGAGGTGCTCGTCATAGTACTGCTTCCACCTCTCAATCACCTCACACTCGTTCGTGAGAAGGTTACCGTCCAAGTCCTTGCACATATCGGCTTGCGGCACGTAGCCTTTGCGCGAACTATTTAGCTTCTCGTAGAACTTCCGTGTGTCGTTTACACGGTACAGATTTTCCATCGCCTCGCGATCTCGATCTTCCTGCTGACGCTTCTTCCTTCGGAAAACCGAGTTTTGTCTGTTCCGCGCTTGTCTGTATCGCTCCACATTCAATCTCGTGCGGTGTTGCAGCATTCTCGCCCGTGCTGCATTCTTCTCCTCTACTAACAGTTTGCATTCGCCGTCAAACCAGTCATTTCTTCGGTCCGGGATTGCAGTACCTAGTGCCGCTACAGCAGTACTACCTATGACTGAACGGATTTCCCTCCAGCCATCTTCAAGAGAAGCTGCGCCAAGCTGCTCTTCCGTGGGTAGTGCAACTTCCAGCTGCTGCGCGTAGTCCTGGGCAACTCCGGTGTCCCGTAGTTGCTCAATGTTGGGTCGTGGCGTTCGACTTCGACGTGTGTTATGCACCGTCGAGAGTTTTGAGCGCATGCATACTGCAACTAGGTAGTGGTCCGAATCTATGTTCGCACTGCGGTACGTGCGGACGTTGATAATGTCGGAGAAGAATTTCCCGTCGATTAGAACGTGATCGATTTGGTTTTCTGTGTGTTGGTCAGGTGATCTCCAGGTGGCTTTGTGGATATCCTTGCGGGGGAAAAAGGTACTTCGAACTACCATACCCCGGGAGGCTGCAAAGTTCACGCATCGTTGGCCGTTGTCGTTAGATACGGCATGCAGGCTGTTTGGCCCGATTGCCGGTCTATACATTGCCTCCCGTCCTACCTGAGCGTTCATGTCGCCGATGACGATTTTGACGTCCCGTTGCGAACAGCCGTCGTACACCTGCTCCAGCTGCGCATAGAACGCTTCTTTCTCGTCGTCGGGTCTCCCTTCGTGTGGGCAGTGCACGTTGATGATGCTGTAGTTGAAGAAACGGCCCTTAATCCTCAACTTGCACATCCTCGTGTTGATCGGCTGCCAACCAATCACGCGTTGGCGCATCTTACCCAGCACTACAAAGCCGGTTCTCAGCTCGTTGGTGGTGCCACAGCTCTGGTAGAAAGTAGCCGCTCGATGCCCGCTTTTCCATACCTTTTGTCCCGTCCAGCAAAGTTCCTGCAGTGCTACGACTTCGAAGTTGCGTGGTTGAAGTTCGTCATAGATTAACCTATCGCAACCCGGGAAGCCGAGCGATTTGCAGTTCCATGTTCCGAGTTTCCAATCGTAGTCCTTATTTCGTCGCGTAGGTCTGTGCCGATTGTTCCGATCCGTATTTCTTTCTTCGGTATTTGCAACTTTGTTTTTTTTCCAGGGCGGCTTGTTGGGCCTGCCCCAACCCCCTGTCTCGCCGGGGGACCATCGTGCACAGCTCTGTTTAGAGTCCCACGCTGACGGTGATCAGCCGCTCCTAACATGGAGAACAGACGCCGTTTTGAGCCGCACCTCCATGGTGAACAGACGCTCGGGTTTGGTGAAGCATTTCCTCTATCACCGTACTATGGTTACCGCGCCAGTGTTCGCGTCGCACCTCTTCACTTTGCTATTGCCGGACTGGCAACATTGCCCAGGCTACGCCAACGTACTCAACAGATGGCGGTAATGTTTTAGCGACGATGTTTTAAAGTGAGAAATATTCAATGTGTTATGTCTGTTTGTCTGTGCTTCCTTTTTTTTGCTAATTATAACAATATACCCCATCCCCCTCACTCATATCAATAGTTTCAGTTTGAAATAACTTCGGAGTTTCATATTTTATCGATTTGGTATGTTCAGGATGAATTATTCAAAAACGTTTGCTCAATCTCATAAGCATTGTTTGGCAGCGGGGTGGGGGAGGGGGGAATGGCTTACGGGATGCAGTTTTTAAAACGAAAATTGTTGTAGTGTAAATAATTAATATCCACTTGTTGGTTCATTTGTTAGTGAGGAGATGTTGTTTGAATTATTAGCAGCTGGGAAATTTTAAATTTCTATACAAAGCTTTCATTTGAAATATTAAACTGCCATTCGGGCCACCCGCATATAGAAAACACAGAAGTAGTCGTACGTCAAGAACCAAAAACAAGAGAAAACGAAAACTGTCTTCACCAGTTTCGTCTCAGACACAGGTAAAGTCGGATTTCGCTTGTTGGGCTAACTTTAAGTGGGCTAAGTTTCAGTTGGGCTCCCAAGCCAAACGTCACTTCTAACAGTGCTAATTCCTTTTCGAAATTTCAACCGGCTTCATGCAAAATCCTGCAAACGAGTGGAGTAATGATACAGATTATTTCAATGCGATACAACGAGTTGCTTCCTTGATGGTTGTCAACGATATGGCTGAATGAGGGGTGAAGCTCATTTCTGACTTATCAAGAAATCCACCCGAGACCTAGTTCAACAGCAATATTTAGTCTTTATCTTTACTTTCATTGATATAAGTGAGGGCCGGAAAGCATACAGTAAGCCCCCCCCATATCTAACTACGCCTATTAAATGGAGCACATGATTTGGAATACATTTGAACATACCAACTTGACAAGATCAGAAACACCGAAGTTATTGCAGTTTGAAGCCTTACCTCCATTTATATGGGTGAGGGGGCGGGGTATAGTTAGCTCTCCTCCCCCTCATCTCTTAATATGCCTATGAAATTGAAAAACTGTTTTTGAATAATTCACCTGAACATACCAAATCGATAAAATAATTAACTTCGAATTTGGAGTCTGACTTTCATTGGTACACCGGCAGTGTTGGCAGAAAAAGGATTTTTGACATTTAATTCGAAACATTGATTTTTGAACAGCGATAACTTTTGTTAGGGGCATTCTAGCACAATACATTTTTGAGCAAAGTTGTTAGGCACTTCCTGGGCTATACTTTGACGTATTTATATGCGGGGTTTGTGCAAAATTGTGGCCCCTAGTAATAAAGATACAAATTACAAATGCAATGCGGAAAGCCGGGTTACAACCAATCGTCCCCAAATTTTGCACAGTTGTTTGGCACCCCAAATGGAACCAAAAAAACATTGTGCTGAAAAAATGATCATGATGACCCATCCTTACTGGTTCAAAAGTAAGCATAACCACCTCGAATAACGTTCGATGACTAGGCCTGATGCAATCGACAGACAATTTCTTCGTCTGCGATAAGTAATTGAATTTCAGTAAATAGCTTGAACTCTGAGTCTGAGCATCGCACAACGGTAGCGCGCTCCGATCAGTATATTTATATGTGCCGTGCATCATTCGTTCCATACGTTGATAACAATACAACGCCCGATCCAAATTACGTGTAAAGACACAGACGGTTGTAAAATTTCAGCAGTCGCCATCACTGTCTATCGCACACGTTATATAGATTGTGTAGAAACGATCATCGCTAAACCAATTCCACCAGCTAATCCCTCATACACTTTGACCTTCCAACGCACTTCGTTGGTTGCATTTTCAAGTGAACTTACATTCAGCTTCTCTCATTCAACTCCTTTCACTTTTTGTAGGTGCGTGCATTACGTTTTGATTTGATCGATATATTGATACCTATCTCTAAAAAATTTGCTAGGTCAGTCGTCTACTACGTTTTCCTTTATTAGTGTGATAAATCGGATTCGATATTTAGCTTCAACAAATTGATTTGTTTACCGATTATAAGGTTTTAAGCAAGACACTCTAATACCTTAAACCTGTTGCTAGAAGAAAAAACGATCTCAATGTAAAATCGTGACCGAATGTAGGGCAATAACAAGCGAGGCAAGTTCACGTGAGTCGGACAGTAAACCCACAAGTTTTCGCTACTTGTGATGTTGATGTTATTCTATCACGTATTCGCACCCGTTGAACTTGGCTCCAGTACGCAATACCTATTCGGTGGCAACCACAATTCCCTACATGACCCTAAACATTTCCATAGCTGTACTGATGTTACTGATCTTGAAGCACGCAAACACTCCACTTTCCTCGCGATGACAGTTCAAATATAAGGTAACAGGAGAGTGTCCCACTGCACGTTATCTGTATTGGTTTCCCTTTGCCACCGGGAAGCCTCCGGCTTTCGCTATGGATGTTAACATTAGCAACAGAGTAATATAAAAAAAAAAACGTTACAGGCGAACTGCTATAGAAGGTTCCATACGGTCACCTTCACAAAATATTTAAACTACCCTCTATCTCTGACGTAGATGCATCACTCAATAACACCATCGATTTGATGACTACACATATTGTTCTAGAAGCTTTCCCGTTCCAGTTGATGGGTACCCTTCATCACGATAAAAACTATTGCCGCTTACCTTCGAAATCGCCCGTATCGGCCACGATGGTGGTCAGTTGCTTCAGCTGTTCCAAACTCGAGACCATCTTGGATTTCTTGACCTGCGGTTCACTACTGCTCATAATCGACTGAAGTGTGGCTGAAGTGCCTTCTCGTTGTTCGTGTGGAAATAAATACGCGACAAGGATGTCAGTTCCCAAATCGGAAAATGCAACTTGGTATGTACCAAAGTCAGCGAGGCGTAGGTATATGGCGAACGGATATTCGCGGACCGAACTTGATGCCGTGCAAAGTCGTAGTGAGAGCGAACGATTGTACAAGACGGCGTCGTTTGACACACTAGTGCACCACGGAATCGAAAGGAGGTTCACCGACATGTACCTACAGCAGCCTATAGGTCAAATATACGAATGTAAGCAACAATACATTGACATTTGCGCTATAGCAACTCCGCTTTAAAGCGACTGAATCCAAGTGTGTGGATGGTGAGACAAAATACACAAAAACGCTTGGAACTGATAAGTGCACAAAAAACAAGCAATCGAAACCGGCTACAGCAAGCAATCACCGTATAACCATGTCTAACCCTTTGCTCGCCAGCGCTGTATATTTAGTAGCAAACATTTTGTATCCGTCATAAAGATGGATTAAGTTCGTAGAAGATTTCAAAAGATTAAATTTGAAAAACGCATAAGGAGGAATAAATAATTTTTTTAAGACTTTATTAGGGAGATTTTGGGCCAACTGGCTAGTTCATATCCAAAGGGAACTGTAAAATCATTTTTCTTATCACACTTCGCAATTTCAAAAGCACAAATCTCAAGATTTCCGAGGTTTATAAATCTGAAAAATTTCATACATTGCTTGCTTCTCCGCAGCAAACATCAAGTAACTACTAGTTCGTGCTACGTGCTACGTGCATTCACAAAAACCATACCCTAAGCAAATGAAAATGATTTTTGAAACATTTTAGTCTGGAGCGGTGCGCATGTCGCTGGGTGGGTTAGAGTGGGAGGTAAAGCAAGCTCTCACGTTCGACACGAAGGTTCGCATTATGAAATGTTTTGGTATCCGAGTGCTCGGCTTATGCATCAATCGTCATTTAGAATGTCCACCGATAGGTGGCGCAATAATGCATTAAAGAGAACGGTATCACCACCATACTCGGCCGATTGGGAGATTGCCTTAAAAGCTCGACGCAGATGTCGCCACTGCATGATGATGATAATGTTGACAGGCTCATATAAAATTCGTGAAAATTAGCATTAAATCATAATTTTCATCAAGCCTGCGTATAATCCTTCCAATATAACATTTGAGTTGAAGAAGAAAATGTTTTCACGATCAGACCGATGTGCATCTTTGACTTTTCCAGATGAACTTTCATAAGATATATTCATTTCATTTCACAGCTCCATCAATGCTGCATCGTACATATGATGTAAACAGAAGTAAATTGCTCAATTACTCAAAATAAAGATGATTTATCATCTTGTTATCTCTTTGAAAACCATCTAGCACTATTTTATAGTATGGTGCGTGTTGAGTACATCAAGTTCCGTTACGTTTTCCGTCGAAAATAAGTGAGTATCAATATGTTTGCCTTAAAACGGCCAAAATGAACATTTATTGAATATTGGCGTCCTATACAACCAATTCTCCATTACCACCAGCATGATACAAACTTTCCTAAGTAAATTCACTTAATTTTCACTTTCATCTTAGTGGAAATCGCACATCACCATTTTCCGAAAAAGGCAGCTGCGCAGGAGGTAACCTCTACCTGTGGGTGCAAACTTCAAAAGTTTCCACCAGAAATTATTAGTTTTTCTTTATGTACCGATTTGCCCCAAAAATCGTCTGGTTTACTTGATGAATCTACGTTACGGTCGGCCAGCCAGATGGAAATGATGTGAAAATGATAATGACGTTTTGCTATCTGTCAAATCGTATGGAATATTTTTTAGTACATCATCACTTTTGTGGTTTTGGATTTCAAACCTAGGTATCGCATGCACTGGTGCAGTTTCGCGTAGATTCATCACTTGGAGAATTAATTATATGATTTGAGTAGTAGCTACACTGAAGATCCGAGAGATGTCGCCCACTCAGTCGTAGGAAAATCATTTTTGCAGTATGGAGAATATAAGAAAATCCACGATTTGTGACTAAACATGCTTTCACAGAAGGAAACAAATAAACGAGTGTTTACCTTTTCACTATAGTAATGTACTCGTGCAATTTTTGTGCATCTAAAACTGCCCATAAAGACGATAATGAATAAAAACTGAAAATTTCCATGCATTTCCAAATGGTTTCCTACCATTCCCATACATTCGAAAGTGACTGGCCCTCTGGATGTGGATGATGTGAAAAACAACAAAACATGATTAATTTGGAAAGTATCCTCCTTCTAGTAGTTCTCACTTCGAAATGTAGGTGGCGAAAGTTTGGAAAAGTTTCACTGCAAGACGCCAATCATTTTCGACTATTTTCCATTAATATTTTTGAAACGTTTACGTTGCAAATATTAGTTCCAGTGCTCTAGGGATGATAGTGTAAGAAATTTTTAAAATATCTCGGCATAATCGAAATGCAATTAAAAATACACAAGTGCGTCACCATTATGAACTGCGTCAAATATGGTGCTGGCACGGTATCCCCCTTCCCCCCGCTAAACTGACGACACGATAATCAGCCAATTACGGTCTCTTAATAAGCTTTTTACGTTGTTATACCAACAATCAATACGAAACTAACGATTTTAAATTGGCTCACTACTTGACTAGCTTATTGGTCCCAAGCAAATCGACTAACGTACCCCATTCTAGTATAAATTCCAGTACTACACTATGTTTGTTTTGATTCGCTATGAAAGTTTGACAGATAAAATGAGTGGATTTTCCTATGTTTCGAGGGGTGAAGCGATTAGCTTGGGACCCAGGGGGTAAGTCACTCTGCCACCTTGTGTTAACACCCACAAAAACACACTCCAAACACCTTGCCACCCAGGCAGTCTCCACATAACAGATAGTTTTTCATCAATCCTGGCACCACTTCCAAGAATGTTAACATATTATGTTGTTTATAATAGACCAATCCATGATCTGATTTTATCATTCATTTTTGACAGTATGATCTGCTTTTTATTGATCTGAACCTCTCAAATGAGGAAACAAACCAAACTAATCTGCCAAATTATTTAGAACGCTTGGTTTATTTATGTGACCCAGGATATCAGCGATTTTTTGCTGTAGGTTTTTATATAGCTTATTACCCTACTTACCGTGCATTTTAATCTCTATTCTGCGGTTATTTCCTGGGTTGTTTTTAAAATTTGTAAATTTATTTTCGTGATATTATTACAGTTCATCATGGTAAAGGCGCAGCTACAAAGCAAGACCATGCTGGAGGTGGCTGGGTTCAATTCCCGGTCCGGTCTAGGAATTTTTCGGGTTGGAAAATTTCTCGACTTCCCTGGGCATAGAAGTATGATTGGACTTGCCACACAATTATACCAATGCAAAAATGGTACAGGCATCGAAAGCTCTCAATTAATAACTGTGGAAGTGAATCTAGAACACTAAGTTGAGAGCACGCAATAAGCTAATATGCGATATGCAATAAGCTTGAAATGCGAAGAAGAAGAAGAAGAAGAAGAAGAAGAAGGGTTGCTTCGTCTCACTTTGCTACAAACATATTTTTCTGAGGTATAGAATAGAAATGCCTGTAACATACAAGAAGAAGTTGAAAAATGTGTTTCACCCATAAAACCTGTCAATTTCACTTTCAGAGCGTCACAATCAGCGCAACCACTTCGTGTAACTTACAAGTACTAATTATCATTACAACATCTAATAAATTCATAATTCAAAGAAAAAATTTATAGCAAGTGAGTGGAAGCAACCCTGCTGGGAAGAAAAAAAAATCAGGTCATATACTTTTGTCTTGTACTGTTTAAGCATATCGTTGGAAATCATATTTATATATTAAATTATTATTCTATTTTCACAACTGTTTAGTTTCTGTCGAATTTTTGAAGAATAATCCTGAGGACCCTCTCGAGGACATCCCTGAGGACATCATTGAGTACTGTCCTGAGGACAACTCAGACGGTATCTGAAGATATACCCAGCTATAGCTATGAGCACATCGATAAGGACCCTGCTAAGGACATGGCTACAGACAACGATGCTCTTGCCCAAGGTAATAATAAAATAAATATATTTGGAAATAAATTGTTCCTGATGCATGTGGGCGTCTATAGTGGAATACCTGTATACAGAAGAGAGAATAATTAGTTAAAAATGGAAATTTTTCTATTCTCGCAACTTGTTAGTTTCTATCGAATTTTTGGACAGTAATCCTGAGGATAATCCTCTGGACGAAGACATCCTAGAGTACAGCCCTGAGGACAAATATGACGATATCTCTGAAGACAGACCCAGACCCAGACTCGTGCCCGTAGAGAACTACCAGTCTTATACACTTAGTACGGGGCGAAGTTTACCAGCTGTGAGCTTTCATTCGCGAGTAATCGACGTCTAAAGCCATTGTTTACAAAAGCAATTCGGCCTTTTTGAAATGTTCACACCGCATTACAAATTTAATGCGGCATGAAATCGCCAATTCAAACTCATCCATCTTCACAAAATAGTTGTTCTCAAGGGAAGCATTGAACCAACTTCCTCCAACCAGTAGGATCCACTTTTTATCCCACTCACGGATTTTCTTTCTCAATGAATCACGAAGAATGTTCACATGGTTTCTTACGGATCTTCATCATTTTTACTCCCTAAAAAAGAGTGGAATTAACAGTACATGAACGGCGGCTCCTGGTTTACTGATAGTAAGTATCCGGTCGGCGGAAAGAGAACAGCTTCCTGTAGCGCTTGTGGTGGTATCTTTGCGCCAGTGGGAAGCGGATCTTCGAGTCGTGGAACTGCTTGATGTGAGCACGACGGGTCTTGGAGGCCTCAACCGATTCGACCTTGATGATCTGTTGGGAAAACATTCGCATCAGTGATTCTTTCCGGGTCAATACTACAAAAAAGCAACTCACCTGAATGGAGTGGGCACGGGTACGGTGGCGCGAAGCCATATCGCTATAGCACTGCGTGACAGCACCGCCAACGGTCAGATCACGATTCTCGCGGTTCATGTTGTGGGTACCGGAACGGGAATCGTAGCGCAGCCAGATGCCGAAGTTCTTCACGCACAGCGGAGTTTTCTCCAGGATACGCTTGACCGAGGCAATCTCACGGGTGGCCTTCTTG